CGGTGAGGTCCTAGGAGAGGCCACCGGCGGTGAGGTCCGCGCGGACCACAGGCGAGGAGGGCGCCGGAGAAGTATAGCAGGGGAGGGGGAGGGGGAGGTTAGCGATGGAGTGGAGGTGTCGCGAGGACGAACTAGGGCTGCGCCATGGGGGGTGAGGGAAGAAAGGCCACGCGGCGTCTGACGCGAGAGGGCTTTGCTTGGCTGGAGACGGGAGAGGGCTCTGTCTCTCACACTCGATGCGCCGCAGAAAAACAATAAAGGCCCATTTCGTGGGACGTGCACTGTCGCAGACCCATCTCCGATTCCTCGTATTCTCAAAAAAAGAAAAAAAGAAACGATTCCTCAAAAAAAACTCTCCTATTCTTCCATTCTAAAAAAACTCGATTCTCCCTTCACTCAAAACAAAACATAAGAACAACTCTAGCAGACCTTTCACTAAAAAAACATAAGAGCAACTCTAAGGCCTTGTTTGGTTGCTAAGGGAGATAATTCCAGGTAAAAGGCGCCCTGGCTAGAAAATTCTTGGTAAAATGAAAGCCCCGTGGAATATTCACTTCACTATTTGGGAGAAATAAGGAGTGGGGGATAATATTTTATCTTCTTCTTTTCTTAGTATACTCTGTAGTTTGTCTCTTTGCAATCCATCTAGGCTGCTCCAACTACCATTGTTGGAGAGGAAAACGAGAGATGTAGTTCTGAGGGGAGGCGGCCGTGCCCCTGCTCGTCGATGCGCTTCCCATGTCCAAGAAAGGTGGAGGGAACAGTGGGGAGAACGGCAACGGGGGCCAACCGCCGGCGGCGGAGGAGACTTCGCTGGAGATTCATGTGGTGCGGGGAGGCGTACTGGTAGCTGGCGGCCCCGGCGTTGGTGATGGCGGAGCGGAGGAGCCGACGACCATTTGACGACCTGGGAGGTGAAGGAGGATGTTGTTGGCCTCGTGAGGTGGAGTGACGCCATGGGCATCACCGGAGGAAAGAGATTGCGAGACAGACGGGGAGAGTTCTCTCGATGTAAGGAGACGTGGGTTTGTAACCCTGGGAATCGGGGTGGATCGGATAGGGAATATTCCCTCCCCCTTGCCAGCAAATACGCGTGGAGCAAAACCAGGATGAAAAACACGCGCGGTTTTCTCGCCCAGGGAAAAGGTCGGGATCCCGGAAGGATCCCCTGCTACCAAACAAGGCCTAAGTCGTTATATTTGTAGCTTTCTTTTTTGCTGGAAACTTTGAGTGTTTTGTTCAATAAAATAATTCCTAGAACAATCAGCTACTAAACTGCTGACCAGTAAAGGAGGTTCAAAGTCTATCCAACTCTCGGCGATCATCAGCGAGCTAGCATGCTTGGCGCATGAACCGGAAGATTAGCTGGCATGTCTGCATGTTGACTACTCCCTCTGTTCCAAAATAGATGACCCAACTTTGTATTAAAGTTAGTACAAAGTTGGGTCATCTATTTTGGAATGGAGGGAGTACTAAAGAAGAAAATGATGAGGCTAGCTCTCCTATTTACTTTTTTTGCATGGTAATATGTATCTCATTTATAAAATAAAGATCCGGTTAAAGCCACGTAAGCACCAACATTACAAGACTGAAAAGATAGGATAATCCTATGCAAAATACCAGCGCCTGTTCTTCTCCTTCGACACCACCGAAGCGGCCATCAAAGGGATAGAAAACAGATCACCTCTTCACCCGAGCTCGACACGGTTCCATCGCTGATCAGCAGCTTTACGGACCTCGAAAGTAGTTTGCCAGAAGCAAAACCATGTCAACTTAACTCTCTCTTAAGGCTTGCCTTGTTATTAGCAGTCCGGTTTGCTTCTATAAGTGTTTTAATGATAAAACTTAATGTAGTACCCCGGAGATGTATTTCCATAAGTTTGATACTGCTAATGTATAAGTGTTTTAATCTTAACACCGGAGATGTTTGTTTCTATAAGTGTTTTAATGATAAAACTTAACTCTCTCTTAAGGCTTGCCTTGTTATTCCAACTGATGCCCTAGACAACACACTGTTTATGAGCCAATTTGACCACTTGAGTAATTGAGCTTCTGAATATTTTGTTGTCATGGGAATCAACATGATTATCATCTACCTTGCCAATTTTAAAATAACCATTAATAGTCAGCCTGTTTCCAAAAATAGTGCTACATTAGCATACCAAGCATGATTTCAAGTCAAAAAAAACACTACATTAGCATATTTCTCTCCATTTCAACTTCAAGTCTCATCTGCGGTCTGGTTCTCCTAAGCGTGGTAGACACATTTGATAATTGTTTACGCTTTCCTGAAGGTATAAATGGCCGATACTCCCTCCGTTTTAAAATAGATGACTCAATTTTATATTAACTTTAATACAAAGTTAGTACAAAGTTGGGTCATCTATTTTGGAACGGAGGAAGTACTATCTAACATGAAAGTTGGCTAAGCGCATATGCTTAATGTTCTGCTTTGGAACCTTAAATAAGTAATTGCGACTATGCTTTAATTAAAAAGAGATCCCCTGTTGATACCTTATTCAGTTTGTATTTTACATTTCAAGTATTCATCATTTTAGCAATGCTTGAATAGTAATTATATTTGAGATTCTTCCTAAATGCTTACATGAGTACTCTGTTTGAAACTGGTATTGTTAATAAAATCAACAGAGGCGCATAACCAGTGTTGTTGTCCCCGCATCCCTGGTCAGTTGTGATATTTTTAGTTGTGATATTTTAGTTTTTCATTTGTTCTTGAAACAGTGAAGGAAACCTATGAATGGTTTGTTTATCTCTGTTCGTATTCTTTTTGCAATTTAATCTATTGTAATACTAAGATTTTTCCTCAAAATGTTTTTTGCTGCTTAGGGATGCAAGTAATTTCAAAATGATATTCTACAACAATATTTTTTCTCTGTTTTGTTTCCTAGCTATCATTTCATTTCACCCACTGACATGAGGTGCAACCTTGATTGATTTTTAGCCTTCCATTAATCATCAATATTATTTTCTGTCGGAGTAAATGACCACGGGTAGCCTAGCCGGCTCCCCCTGGCCTTTCCGAAAAAATAACGAGCCGATCCGGCCCTCAAGAATTCAAGACGTGGGGCCGCCTTCCCCTTGCCGGCTGTCTCCCAGGCCGACTATCGGAAGGCGGCCCGGCTTTAGCCCTCATGAAGAAAGCCGCGGGAGGGCCGGCTCCAAGAAGCCGGCCACGAGAAGCCGACTCCCACAAAGCGGTCAAGATCGTACCCTCGAAGTCTGCATCCACATAACGGCGATGTGGCGGGGCATGGCTACAGTAAAGCCTGCCATCCCCGAATCCCGGAGCACGCCTGGCACAGTGCGTCGTACGGGGTGGCCATGACCCGTCCGGCGCGACACTGTTGCCATGTTGACCCTGATGCCACCCACGACGGGCTGTCAGCGCGGCCCACGGGCGGTGGGCCCCTTCAGGCAGAGAGACACCCGAAGGCGGTCAGGCCTCCCCCAGTCGGCCCAAGATAGGGCCGGCTCCCCACAGCCAGCTTGCTTCCTCCCTCGAAGGAGACGCCCCATTAAGGAGACAAGACGAGGTGAGGCTACAGCGATCGCCCGCCGGGCGGCGGCACTGTAGCCACGCTTACCTCGGCGAAGCCCTCGTCACCAGATTTGAGGCAACAGTAACCAGCCACCGACAAGGTCCTTGACAGTGAGGCCTGCCTGTCAACCAAGGAGCCGGCAGCCGGCGGGACCCACCAGCCGGCGGGCCCCAGCAGCCGGCGCAAAAGCCGGCGAGCGTAGACACAGATGGCTAGGGCCCACGCCCAGCTGGATTACCATTGTACCCCCGGGGGGTGGGCCTATATAAACCCCCCGGGGCACCCATGCAAAGGGTGGATCTGAGCTAGTTTTAGAGACCACATAGAGGGGAGAGGAGAGCTAGCCGTGCCCTTCTTCTTCTTCTCGCCAAACAGCTCAAGGAGCATCCTGTAGCCACTCGTTCATCTAGTGATCATATGGAGACCCCGCAGAGCAGCAGTAGGGGTGTTATCTCCACGCAG